ACGTCAAATAAGCTGTTGAGTGGCGAACACCTACAGCGCTGTCTGTGCTGCAGCTGCTTTCCAGAAGCGTCAGCATTATTTGGGCTAGTACGTAAAGCACCTGCATAAGCAAACAGGAAGGCAACTGGATACTTCAGCCTGGAAAAGCTCCTAATGCATCAATGCTTATATGAGAGTCAACAGCAAGAAGCAAATCCATCTCTTGGCATTAGCAAACAGAGTTAAAAAAGACTCTTCAGAAGTTGTCTGAACTTCTGAAATAGCATGAAACTGCAGTTGCGTGAATGACTCTACAGCAGTGGTCTGATCAGCCGTGCTCAGTAGTGCTCACTGGCTTGAACATCACCTCTTAATTTCATTCCTAAAACGACCCTTCACAATTGTTTGAGGAAAAGAAGCTCTTCCTGCCAAGATCCTGGACTCAGGTTTTGCTAAGCAAATATCATTTGTTTCAGCTGCACTGGAGGTACTATTTGTGCTGGCCTTTTCAAACCCAGTTATTTTAAGCGTGCTTCTTCAGTGCTGGACAAATGTTACTGTGAAGCAAATCTATGTTTTTCCTTCCAGAAATCCATGCAGCTTACAGTTAAATACAGCCTGTGGTGCCATGTAGAGGAGGGTAAAACACAGTTCTTGTAACTATGCTGCTTTTCAGGTAACGTTCGGAAATAATACCAAGGGAAACAAATATCTATGACCTAAAAAGCCAAACAGAGCAGACGTGTAGGCTGGGGATTGGGCAGCACAGAGTCTGCAGTATCACATTCCATTTATTGCACCACTTGCTCTAAGCTGCTCCCATTTCTCGGACTGGCTCTGGAGAGGCACTGCTGGGAACAGCATCTATGCCACCTCCTCATGCCACCTCCTCATGCCCCCTCTGAGGAAGCTGATTCCTGCGGCTTGGCTTTTCAGTCAGCCATAGTGACTGTGATGAAGGATTGAGTATATGGTGGGGCCTAATGGGCAAAAATCTTTCTAGTCTTACTCTAACTCTTAATGCCTGTTGGTAACTTCGTGTGTGCTCAGAGAACTGAGGAAGGAACAGCTAGATGAATGTGTAATTCTGTGGAAAGCCTGTCTCTGCAGACTGCTGGGGAGGACAGGCCACAGGCTGTGTGCTCACTGGGCTGTCCCTGTGCTCTCCAGCAACTGCTGCCTGCATCAGAGTTGGGCAGTTGTCCTGTATCTAGGTGATAGATCTTTTAGCTTGTATGAGTGTCTGTATTGTTGGGTATGACATTTGGCTAAGGTGGAAAAGGTAGTGAGTCACATCTATTGATAGCTTTTTGCAGCAGGATGTTTGATTAAAACAAACAGCATCCTCACACTCACAAAACGAATGGCTTAATTAAATACTGTCTGTTTTCCATTGCTGTGTTCTCTGAACAAAAAAAACCCCACCATGTAAGATTAATCTGCATATTTAAATGAGGTGGCATTTCAGTAGACTTAATGCTGATGACTGTCACTGAAATGTACTCCGATATCATTATTTATAGTGTCTTAGAAGAAAGGACTAAAGTTATGGTGAACAATCTGTCCTGGTAGCAGAGGTAAAACAAAGTTGAACGTTGCAGAGTGTCTGTGAACTCATCTACTTGGCATCAAGGTGATTGACAGCAAACACAGGGGACAGACCTGTGGATGCTCCAAACCAGCCCTTGTCCTGGGCTGTGCACAGCGCCATGCTGCCTGAAGAGTGGGGCAGAGGGCTACATTCTTCTTTGTGTATCGGCCTGTTGTGCCCCCGTCAGCATTGCTAAGCAATCGTGTGTGTTATGGTGCTGGCCCTTTGCATTTAGGGGATCCTCATGACAGGAAATGAGCTTCCAGCAGTGTTTTGCTCTTGTCAGGAACAGAAATGGCTACAGCCCAGGTTGCTGGTGGTATTTGGCAACTGGGGTGAGGCAGGGGCAATTGAGCACGGTTCCAGAGATGAGAGGAGGGGTGCAACAAGCAGGAGTGAAAAGAATGAACAGCCTGTTTGGCCCAGACACCACCACAGGTGACCAGACAGCTCTGTCTTCTGGTTTCGTTATCCCCTCCGCTATTACTTTTCTATTTCTGGCTATAAATGTTCTAACGTTGCAAAATTAGCTATCCTGAGAGGTACAGTGAGAGCCTGACCTTGTCAAGCATTGCATGTACTAGACAGGAAAGTACTGAACAAGATTTTCCAGCCTACTTCCTTTCTGGTGAATCTCGATGATTCTTCTGCTTGTGTTTCTCAGCCTCTTCAATGTAAAATTGGGAAATGTTTGAAGAAGCACAAGGTGAGTGAAAAACCTGCTTCTTTGTAGTGGGAGGACTAGCCAGAGTTCTGGGTCTCCATTACACTGCTGTTTCATTTGTCAAAGCTTCCTGTGCTAACCATTAGCTGTTCGCAGTGGGCAGTAAGCCTGCATTTACCAGCCCAGTAAATTACAATACAGTAACAGATGCTGTCTTGAAATGCTGGAACCAACTTCAGCTTGTCTGAGGTTTCTCTGCTTTCATCAGATTATTTAATTTACATAACTGTGATTCTGTAAGATACCCTGGTTGTCAGCCTGTGTTACTTGACCCCTTCTGGCAGCCCTGTGCCCGTGGCAGAGCTGTACCTGCCAGAACTGCTTTCTGCTGATACCAACCATTAAGTTTAGCAGCAGGAGTTGGGAGCTGAGTGCTGTCAAAGCTGATCCAAGCCAGCATTTCAGCTGTGCAGTCTTGCATCAGTTTGTCTGTGGGGAAGGAAAAGAGTGAAGACTCCTTGATTTTTAATGGATAACAAAAGGCTGGAAAAGACCTTTTAAGATCAACTGTTCCCCAGCACTGAACCATGTCATTGAGGGCCTGATCTATGTGGATTTTGAGCACTTCCAGGGCTGGTGATCACAGCACTTCATGGGCAGCCTGTTCTGATGTCCCAGTGCTTGACCAGCCTCAGAGGAAAAAAAGTTATGGGCTTTTTCTCCTTTTGCACCTCTTAATATTCAAATGGAATTTCCTGTGTTTCAGTCTGTGCCCATTTCCTCTATCAGTCCATTCTGACAGCACTGACAAGAGTTTGGCTCCATCTTTTTTTCTTCCTCAAATCACACTTCCCTTGTTCGTTTTATTCACTTTCACTTCCTGAATACAGGAGATGACTTTCCTGGCTGTGTTTCGCTTTTAGGTTTGGCTAATAGCAGCAATGTAATGTAAGATGTCTTGCCCATCCTGGCTTTTCTAAAGTATTACAGATAGCTGTGGTCTGGTCCTGCTTACATTATATGCAAAGGGAATCTCAGAAGAATGCTTTAAGTGCCAAGTTAAATGTTTTTAATACTCATGCAAGATGTCATTAGTACAAAATGCAAGTGGTGGAAAACTAAGACTTAAAACCTGATGAGGTGAAAGCCTTACACATTTACTGGTAAGAAATTATTGCAATATTAAAGCCTCCCCTTCATTACTGCTCATGTGGAGAGCTTCAGGCAGCTGTAACTGCAAATGTCACCACAGCAAATGTGCACATTCTTGGCAAGCTTTTGTAAACATTTTGTGTGGCTTCACTGCATGCTGTATTCCCCTTTGGGCAGACAACATGGCTGGGACAGGTACAGCACCGGTATTAGGAGTATAACCCTTTTGACAAGCTGTAGGAGGGTATGTTCCCTGCCTCAGATGTAAGCAACATTCAGTTTAGGGTAGTAGATACAAAACCCCCAGCTCTCTGTTGTTTCTTACCTGTACCAGTCAAATTACTTGGTATCTTTCCTAATAGTGAAAAATAAATAGACTGATACTTTGCTTAATGGAAATCTTGCCTACATATTGCTTGATCTGATAAATAGTTATCTATGGCTTCCCCTTTTCTTGAATTGCAAATGGTGCTTCTAGGGGAAACAGAGCAGGAAGCTAAAGATGGCAATAGCCCAAGAAGCCACGCTTTGCTCTCGTTTGTAAGGTTTCCCACAAGAATCTTAACAGAGGGTACATTGTCCTGTCTGTATCTAACCTTAGTGCCCAGCTAGGGAAGCCCCAACTGCCTGCAGTTTCAGGAGGGAGCTGCTCCAGAGGTGTGTTTGTGTATGGCAGAGGAGCCACACAGCTCTCAATAAGCAACAGCTCACCCTGATGCTGGGGAAAGGGAGCCCAAACCATACAGACTGCTGCTTGTTGTGCCTGTAAGGGCTACATAGCAAAGAGGTCTAGCTGGAATAGAGGCAATTTAAACCAAAGGGAGTCACTTGAGAAAATAACTTGTGTTGCTTATAATAACCCAATAAAGTGTCTCTCGAAGACACTTATGTGTGGGATTTTTTAGCTCTAGTTCTACAGGCTGCAGGCATTTGTCCCTCAATTCTTTCTGAGAGACAGAGGGAGATAGCCTGAGTCAAATTAGACTTATTTCTTTCTATCTTTGTATGAGGTAGATAAATGCTGTCATTGATCATTAAATCAATGTTGGAGGTGGCCCCAGCAGAAAGCTCCCACCCCTCCGGTTTCTGAGCCTCTCTATACTGCACCCATAAATGCTTTGTGTACTAATGGCTGATCAATGTAACAGTTCCACTGTGTACCCGTGAGCAGGAAGGACGCAGCCGGCTCTGCATCCCTGCTCAGTGCATATGGAAGCAGATTCATAATTTATGCTGCTTCTCAATAAGCCCAGGCACCAGTGCATTATCATGATTAATTTAACAAAGCTTACTTAGAAATGACACCACAAGTGATAGTGAATGTTGTTTCATTCTTGTAAGTGCATATTAGATGTTACTTCCAAGGAAGAACAAAGGAATGAAAGCCTGTTTTTCTGAGCCAGTCTGACAGATAAAATGGGAGGTTTCTTATTTCTGACTTTTCCCACATTGGTACATAGCTGTTAACTGTGTTGTGTCAGCTGCTTGAAATGGCTTTGGCCTGCAAAGGAGAGGGTAAATTCTTCCCCCCATGCAGGATCAGGGGTGAAAGATAAGTATAATGTACAATCGGGATAAATCTCATTCGTGAGCCCGTGGTAGTTAGACATCACCTGGCAAAACAATTTGGTTCAGCAGCTCTGCAGTTAACATACTTCCCAGACTGCATCAAAACTGTTGGATCATTGGACCTGACATGTAAACCAATGAACTTGATATAAAACTGCTTTTAACCTGTAATTTAATGTTTTTGTGTGGCAAATGGCAGAATCCCTGTTTCACATAGGCAGATAGGCAAGTGATTACAGTATGTTTATTGTACGTGGCAGTTCTTTTCAAAACACACGTTTAAACAGATGGCTTATGTTGACTATTAATGCAGTTCCTGTGATTAAGTTCAGTCTGAACGAAGTAGGCAGAGATTGACATTCTACTGACATCACCGCTGGTGTATTGCATCTTCTTATGAATGTTCAAACTCAGATCTGCTACTACAGCTTCACGGAAATGTCAACTGTGATAAGTCACGATAGAACTGAAGAGATAAGGTACCTGGCACCTTGCTAATTTACTTTTTGACTGGGATTTACTATTTGCATATTCATGCTGTAATGTTTTATTGCTGAAAGTCCATGTTTGAGTAAATTACTCTAAAAAACATAGCAGTAGGCTGAAACTTGCCTCTTTGTCTCTCTAGATGGGATGGGCTTATAGCACAGGCAAGCTGACTTCCACCATGCAGGGAACTCAAATCCATGGTGGTGCTGTGCTCTGCTCACTGAAGCACCTGCATGGCCCACAAGCACTGCTGTCAGTGTACGGTCCTACAGGTAAGGCAGCTGTTCCAGAAAATAGGAATGGCCATATGCCTGGTGAAACCTAAAGCTCCTCTAGTATGGTGTTGTGTTGATGCATGATATTGCAATAGTGACTGGTAAAGGAGTGTGAGAGCAGCTCAGATGGCACAGCCCAGGCTGCAGAACTGAGGCTGCTTTGGGGCTTCCTGACCTGCAGCTCATTTTGTTGTGTTTAATAGTGCCTGACAGGTTTCTCCTTGAAGAATTTGTTGCAGAGCTTCTGGAATTGATGCAAACATTCATTCCTCCAGTAAAGTGTTTCATACCTTAGTTATGTGTTATGTGAAAAAGTGTCTCCCTTCTGAACTTGCTAATAGCTTCACTTGATTATCTGTAGGTCTTGTATTGCAAGAAACAGTGAACAATTGTTCCCTATTAACTCTGTCACCCATGATTTTGTAAGTCTGTTCTATCATCTGATGTGTTTTATACCCTGAGGAGTTCTGTGCTGTTTGTGATATGGAAGGAGATTTTGTGCTTTATCACTTTTTCCTCTATTACTTCATAGTATTTTACTTACCTATCTTAGTCATTTCCAGATAAGCTTCTGCAGCAGGTAATGCGTCAGTCCCAAAGTGAGAGTCTCGTGGCTGCATTTCAGCAAAGAGGATCTTCAGCCTCCTGTGATCCATTTAGGAGTTGTTGGTTGTAGCTTCTAGGGTGACAGTATGGTATGGTATAGCTAGGCTTAGTAGAGTAGCTGTTTAAAACGTCTGAACAAGCACCTCGTGTCTGTTAGATGCTGCTTACCTTTTCCTCCTTCCTTGGAACTCTCCTAAAGCAAATTTTATCTTCTGCTGCTACTTCTACTATATTCTTCACTTAAATTCAGTGTGAAAAAAAACCCACAACAACATGCATTTCATATATCTTTGGATAGAGAGGTTTTCAAATGTCCTTTCATTATTCAGTAGTGACTTTATAAATATGCATGCATGGGAGTAGCGTTGTTACAGCACAAAGCTGTGCAGTAGTTACGTGCTTTTGGTATCTGCTTTAGCAGGGCCTGTGGCACACATTCTTGGAAGACCTCCCAGTGTCAGCGTGTGATGCTGGGCAAGGCTGAAGTTGAAACAGAACAAGGTCCTTTTTATTTCTAAGTCTGGCACATCTTCAGCATTACAGGGCTGGCACTGCATGGCATGAAACACTGCCTCCATGCTGAAATACCTGTTGGAGAAGAGAGCTCATTTTCAGTCACACTAATGCACCTACCCAGACAACCATATTCCACAATCTAATTAAGCCTGAACAAGAGCAGAAACTTGATACCTACAACTTAAAAAACAGCTGATTATTCCTCTTTGAGTAATTGCTGGAATAAAATAAGCCCACGGCATTTCTGGGAAAGCCTTAGGAAATCTCTTTCGGGAACAACATACAGTGCTTAGCTTTCTTTTGATTTGTTTTGGACCAGTTTTAACAGAATCTACACAAGAAGAATAAATGGGACAACACCGTCTCCTATTACATGAAGTCTGTGAGCTTTCATTTCAGTGAATAAGCTGTGGTAAACATAAAATTTACAGAGTTATTATTCCAGCAATTTGTACTATGTAAAAAACAAAACAATGCATCACCAAAAAAACCCTCCACCAACCTAAAGCCCAAACAACAACAAAAACCCAAACATCCCCTTCAAAACCAAACCAACCAACCAAGCTGCCCCCAAACCCTAACCCAAACACAGAACCCCACCTCAACCCCTCAAAAACCCAAACCCACCCTTTCAGAGAGCCAGTGAAATAGCCTGGCTATAGCAGGTCTACTCTCTAAAAAGCTGTGGTTAACATTTTGGTTGACATGGAGGTCCAGTAAGGAAGTCTTGGACCCAAAGGGATGAACAGCCTGGATGCTTTTCCAGTGAGGGGTAAACCACCTGGCAACCACCAGGCATGGCTATCAGCTCTCTACAGAAAGAGAAGTAAAATTAAGTCGTGCTGCAGCTTGGTTAAATATTTGTGAAGCAGATTTAACATCCTTTTACCAAGTGAATGTATAAAGCTGTAAACAGCTGTATAAAAATAACCTCTGAAAACACATTCTTTTTATAGTTTTCCTTGATAAATGGCTCCAGAGCAGCATAGGTAATGCACAGGTACCAGGAACATGAGGAAGCTGATTACAGTTGTAGCTCATAATGCTGGTTATTCAGGGTGTATGACACTTGTTGTCATTGGAGCTGGATTTCAGTCATTTGTAACCTTGTCTAATTGTGTTTGTTCTCATGTTTTCTAGCCTGAGTGTTAACCTCAAGCTGCATTTTAGTGGGAAACATTGGTCAAAAGGCACAGCCTTCTCTAAAGATCATGTTTAGGAATAAAATCTTGGCTTTTAGTTCTTGTCTCCAAAGGCTTGGAAAAATGATTCAAATACAGCATTGGCATGGTTCTCGCAGCAGGGAGAGACCTCTTGATGTTCTCATGCAAGCTAGAAAGTTTGGATGAGTGGTAATTTGCACATGCTCCATGTAGACTTAGATGTTAGTTGCTAAAATCTTGGTCTATCTTATCTGTTTTGTGCATGCCTAATAAAATGATTTTGTCTTATTTCTGCTCAAGCTGTGTGTGCATGAACTCTAAAGAATCATTAAACCTGATTCAGCCCATGCATGTAAGTAGATTCAGACTTTCCTTACCAAAAGTGCTCTGGCCTCACCACAGAGCTTGTCTTTATGCTTACACTGATCCTCCAGCTAACTTGATGAATATATAAGAAGGATGAGTGAAGGCCAAGGGAGATGGCAGCCCTCTGCAGCAATGGGTAGTGGTAGTGGCTGGGGGGGACCAGCCTAGCTAGCAAAGGAGTCAGCAGGAAAGAGCTGAAAGAACTGGTTCTCTGAGAAGTCAACAGAAAAGAGGAGCAGGGAAGTCAAACTAGGAGAAGAGGCAAACTATGGAGATGTGGGAGTTACCATAGCTGCACAGGTCAAAGTAAGGAAACAAACAATAGCAGCAGTGTCTCAAGCAGCAAAACCAGTTTATTGGGTTTGAGGATAAGATATCCCAGGTCAATAGATGCTTTTGTTTGTTTGTTTTCTAACCTTGCTTTCTGAAAGCTAAGTTCTAAACCAAGCTATTTCAGAAAGTTAATATTAACCATTGTGTGATTGGTACCTTAGCAGGAAGCATCCAGGTCTTTCCTGGAACAGAATTTTCCTGAGTTATTTCTGAAGGATACTGGAGAGGGAAATGATTGGTCACACGTGAGTAGGTTGAGGCAGCCCAGGTAAAGATTATCTCTGACTTAAAGTCAGAGATTATCTGATGAGTGCTGCTTGTAGCCATAGAAGCCTGCAGGTAACATGCACTCATTTAAGAATTTTTCAAATCCAAATTATGTAAGAAAGTGAATGAAAAATGAGTACATTATAGCTGCCAGTATTTCTTCAATTTTATCCCCTACCATGTCAAACAAATGACGTAATTTTGCTACTGCCTTATTTTCAGCTTCGTGTTTCTAAGCTTATTGGCATTTTCTCATGCTATGCAAAGGTAAAACTAATTCACCCAGAGATTACAGAGAAGTTGGTTTATGTTAGCTTAGGCAGTGATTCAGATTCTGTCTGACATTAAATATCAATCTCTACTTCCTTTTGGTTTGTGGATAAATGTGACAGACCTTGCACAGCTACACATGTACATTAAGGAACCCTACAGATAAAGCAAAGAAATAAGAGTGCTTCTCTCTTAAAAAATTCTATCATGCTTCAAAACAGCAGCTATCAGTCTAACTTTGTGACTGCTGAGCATCCGTAAGATTCCTGGGCTGTGCTTCCATGTCCTGTGCTGCCAGCTGTCAAGATGGTGTGTCTCCCTGGCAGTGGCACTAATAAACTGGTAGACCATAAATCTTGATACTCGGGTAGAAGTAGATGTTAATGGTGATCAGATGTTTGTTTTGTTTGATTCCGGTTTTTTGTTACCCTCAACAATTTGCTATGAATGAATCAATTTTGCTTTTTCCATCTAATGTCACCATGTCTGCATGTAACCAAGCACCAACAGGTTATTTTTCCCTTGCTTGTGTGCAAAGTATGAACCATCATTCAGAAAAAGGTATTTCATCAGGCAGCCTTTCCATGCTGGCAGTTTTGGCATACTGGAGGTGCCTGTTTTTTCTGTCATTTGGCTTAGGCAACTCTTACGTGCACGAAAGAGACACTGCAAGCAGGATATACACACCTTCAAGGTACAAAGCAATTGATTGTTGCCTTATGCACACAGTTAATAGGTGAGACTCGCAAGTTCCCAGGCTAAGAGAGCTGGCAGGGACCTGGCAGTAAATGGGGTACAATTGTGTGCCTCCTTTGTTCCCTAGGACAGGCTCACCCTCAGAGTTGCTGAGTTGCCATCCTTGTTTCCCTGTTTTTTTTTTTTTAGGATTTTATGCCTTTCCAGGAAGTGACCTTTCCCATTTCAACAGTCTTGCCTGTGAGTTTTATCTGTCTTATTTCGTCTGGCTTTAGCTGACATACTGCCTCACAGCTCTTCCTCACAACTTGTTGTGAGACAAGTTTTTGACTAGTTTTAACAGAATTTACACAACAAGAATAAATAGGACAACCTTATTTCCATTTAGATAAAGTCTGTGAGCTTTCATTTCAGTGAATATACTGTAGTAAACATGGACATTTTCATCTTAAAAGTCCTAACTTGTTTTACATGAGTGGCCCACAGGCTCTATTAAACATGAAGGTATAATCTCATCCTGTGTGCTCTTCTTTATTTTATTATTTTAAAAGAAAAGTAAATATTAACATCATAGATGCACATCACAGAGGCTCAATCACTGTAAACTTAAAATGGACAATATTATAATCAAACCAAAATGACAGTTGAGATTAGATCATGTGTTACCAATTATGTGCCTTGGATCACCAGTTTATGAAGTCATAAAGTTAGTACAGTGTGTAATCAGTGCATGCCCAACAAAGAAGAATTGCTAGTTGTTAATTTTGCATCAGGTGTTTCAAAGAGGAGCTGCTTCCTTTTGGTAAATGCCGATCTATAACAGAGGACTTTAGCATCCTGGGGATTGCTGGTGCCAGGGTTCACAGAAGGGCATTGCCTGGAGGAGAGGATAAAGCCAATCTTCCTAATCTTAAGGAACTACAGAGATCTAAGCAGGCCCTTTGCAGTTTTCTGCTTCAATGCTTTCTTCTGGAAATTTCATTGCAAGTTGCAGAGCTATGGTTTATCCTCCTTAGTTATCACTTGCCTTTACCCAAATAAGCATAAGAACAGATGTGCCAAATGGATTTTACAAGGTGATTCTTCTACATCCACTGAAGTTTTCCAATTTCTGGGTAACCTGAATACTTACATTCTTTCATTAAAAATAAAAAATCTAAAATGTTGGAAGTGTATCTTTCTAAGCTGCCATCTATTGTCTTTACAGTAGGTGAATGGGTTTTATTTTGGAATTTGATCTATTTTGTATCCTGTTCTAACATTGTATGGTTATACTTTCTTAGTGCTTCTTAAATATTCAGTAAAGAGAAGTGTTTTTCACAATATTTACTAAGTGAAAACTATGTATTTTTATGTAGCTTATTAGCATTTACTATGAAAGAAAAATATTGAAAAGGTTTTTCCTGACAATCTCATTTCTCAGTGCGCTGTCTGATGCCGTTATTAATTATACTGTGCTTTCATCCTTTTGTGACCACATCTATTCCCAGAAATACTGTAAGTGGTGCTTCTGCACACAATTTAACTCCCCAGTAAACATACCCATCTGCTCAGTGTTTTCCTTCCTGCATAATTTTTACCTCAGTGGTAAAAGCAGCTGACTGAGGGCATCAGGCAAGAGATATAACTGTTCCTGCAGATTGTCTTGTTATAATGAAATTGGAAATCAGGTGATGTCAGTGCTGTCAGACAATACCTATGCTGACAAATGCCAGCTAGAGTGTGAGGATGTGTGTGACAGGAAGCTTCAGGGCCTACTGCCTTAAGTACCTAAGTGCCAGGGAACAGTTTTGTTCTTTTCTGGATAGCTTCTACTTTGGAGAATGTTTCAATTTAAAACAGCTTTTCTCAAAATTGTGTATTCTCAGAGTAGATAAAACGAGATGTGGTTATGGGCCAAAGGGCTGTCATGGAAATCATTGTGACTCCACGGCTTTCAAATACTTTTCTTGGTCTCAACAGTAGTGTCATCTTCAGGTTCATTTCAATGGCAGAGGTATAGAGAATGTTCCTATGAAGTTTAGGATAGTGGAACAATTTTTTTTGAGTTGCTTTCCTTTCACGCTGCTGGCTAGTTTCAGAAGTAGGATGCTAGTGAAATTCAGCTCTTCAAACCTACACATACTCAGTGGTTCTGTACTTTGTAAAATATCTCAAGCTTCCCATTTTACCCCATGGAATTTCCTGATAGTAGCTGTCAGTTTCACAGGCCCCACAGCCTCTACTGGGTAGAAATCTCATTGCAGGTCAGACAATTTCACCATTGTGGTTTGAATGTTACTCTGTGCTGT